CGCGAGGGTTGCGCTCCCTTGTATGAAAAGGGGCGGTGGACCTGTGCGGAGCACTGCCTAACGCATCCTTAAGGGAAGATGTCAAGAGGTTTTGAGTGTATTTCCAATGAACGACCTTAAGAGGAGTTGAGCGCATCCTCAAGGAAAAACGTTAAGGTGAATTGAGCTCTTCTGGTCTACTCACCCCCAACAGTGGCCCCCACTTTCGAGTTTGGTGGATCAAACCGTCATTTTCATGAGGTGAAGAGTAGCTTAACTTTGGAAGTAGCTTCTTTAACTCGACCGATTGGGTCCTAACCGCTGTTAAGCCTGGCACTTAATTTCATCTCGAGCCTCCTGCAAATCTATCCATGTGTTGAATGTAACGACATGATCTAATGGATCTTTACTGCCATCATATTGCTACATGGTTGGCCATTTAAACTTTGGGGGTATTTCCATAGTCATGATGTTGTCCGTAAAAGGACTACTAGATTCACAAAGGGATTCTTTGGGATTGCGTGCTATCTCATTACCTTCAGGGTACACCAGGGGATTTTCAGGTATTGTTGGTGTTGCGATTATCTTGACACCGGACGCCGCGTTTTGGGATTTCCACTAGTCGTTTAGAAGACTGCGTAGATCTGTTAGCCTTAGGTTCGCATTGACGTTCTTCTTATAGTTGAGCAAGTTCTGCAGATCATTACTACTTGACTCACCCACGTTTGCTTGTGGATGAGTTTGGTCGTCACCCCTCTTGTTCTTAATATAGTATCATGGAAGCGGAATATCTTGTATGGTGGAGTAACCTTAAGACAACTCTTTGTCATACAAGGCGTGGGTGGGGTTTGTTCGTGACTTGTCTTCCACCTCCAAATATTGACCCGCTATTGTTCCGAAGAAGCATCAATCTGCTGTTGTTCCCATTCCTATAGACACAGAGGCATGAAAAAAATGATAGGAAAACACGGGGAAATTTGAATATATGACCCCTACCATAATTGATTTTGGATTTATTACCCTTTTTTGAAAAAACCTAACTTGTGACCTCACCTCCCCTTATGTTTAACTTCTTCAAATTTTTATCTTTGTAAAAAGACGAATTTACCCTCTTGGGTTAATAAATATATATTTATGATACATTAAATTTTCACCTAAACTCATGTTTCATATGGTTTGAACTCTAAAACAAACAAATTTTTATTTTTTAAATCCTCTCAAACAAATATTATTGTCCACGTGTTTGATCATATTATCTACACACTATCCAAAATCATTGTCTCCACATTTTCACTTTTGAAAAGTTAGGTATGTTACACTTTCAAAATTTTTACTTTAAATTTGTTAAAATTATTTGAAATATTTCTCCATCAATATATTTTGCTATAATGAAATTCTTGGAAAAAAAAAAGTGGTTCAGATCGTTGTCTTGTATCAATACTCGATTCGGGATTGAAGTTATATTGCACTGAGATTGAATAATTTTATCCTGCATCAATCTCATTATTCAATCTCGGTGCAATTTGGTTCGGGACATGATCCGAGACACATCCCGGACTGATCTCTAACCAAGATTGGTCCGAGACACTTCCTCGACTAATCCCGGACCAAGATTGGTCCAGGACAGTCCGGGATGAAGTAAAATTTTTATTTTATTTTGTTTTTTTTTTGTTAACTCTTTTCTTATCTCACGTAGTTTTATTCGATTTGCTGGATTGAGTCCGAGATTGAGTCTGGGATTGAATACGGGATTGAATCTGGGATTGAGTCCGGGATCGAATTTGGAAAACGATTATTCTATTTTCGATATCTGGAGCCCTACAATCTACCGTAAAACAAATTGGCTGCTTCAGATAGTGCCGAAAATGGAAACCTAACACTAAGTAACGAATATTTTTGAAGATACGAGCCAATAACCTTGATTCCTTCGAGATCCAAGACAACGATGATGTTGGTTGGTGATGGTGGATGCAAAACGTTGGAATAGATGAAATAGAATGTTCACTGTGGATGGATGAGACGAAGAGTCCGAGAATAGGGAGTGAACGGAGGGAGACAAATGGTTCGAGTATATAGGTTTAGGGTTTTATTTTGGGAATGTAGGGAGAGGAAGGGTCCGAAAATGAGAATGGGAAGATGTGGAATTTGAAACATGAGGGTAATAGAGTAATTTCACTTCTACAAATTTTAAAAGCGGTCATAAGTAAGGGTGGCTGGGTTGACAAATTAAGTTTTTTCAAAAGGGATCATAACTCCAATTTCATTATGGGTGGGTCATATATTCAAATTTCCCAAAAACACGCACCATCTTAAATTTTCATATGACACATGTAAATATGATTTCAATTTTCAAATGATGATATGATTTGTGGAAAATTTTGAAGCGAAGCTGCAATTTTTTAAATATTTGTATGTATTTTCTAAAGTAGTATTTTTAAATTATAAAAGAAAAGGCAAATTTTGGTCCCAGAAGTTTGGAGTAAGAATTTATTTGGTCCGTAAAGTTTTTAAAAAACCACGTCTGGTCTATAAAGTTTATAAAATTGTTCTAAATGGTTGCTAAAAATATTTTAATCGTTAGTTGACAAAGATATGTTGTTCATGATTTAATAACCCTCGTGTAATGTACAGTAATTGTATAGCAAGCATAAAAAGATCTTAGGGATTTAGTAACTAAAATGCTCCAATTTTTACTCAAATAGTGGGTAACCAATTTAGTATACTGTGATTTAATAACTAAGCAACTAAAATGACATAAAAGTGCTTAATAACAGGAATAAAGAGTAGTTTAAAGAAAGTTTATCAACCAGAGGTAAAAAGTGTGCGGTTATGTCCATTTTGCTACGTTGTTATTAATAGATACTCTAGTAATAAAGTTATTTTAACTGTAAAAAACAAACATAGTTCAGTGATAATTGATATATATCTCCAACCAAGAGGTTGTGAGCTTGATCCCTCATCCCCGCATGTTGTACTGAGAAGGAAAAAAAAAAAAAAAATATATATATATATATATATGAAGTTGTTTGAGCTACTAACCAAATAAACTTGGTATCTTTTCGACTACATAAATTTTACATTAACCAAACTCTCGTTTGAATTAACGGAATATCAGAACAGTTTATAGCTATATTAGGCGTGTATTATCCCTAAGTACTCACACTCTATCCTAAAAGATGGATCTAATACAAATTAAAGTCATCCTCACCCTATTACAATACTCTGAAGGCTAATAAAGAGCTAGTTCAAGTATGGTGACCAGTCATCTGGAACTTTTAGAAAATGAACACAGACTTTAATCAAGCAAAACAACTTCATAAACTAGAAATCAATGTTACAAGCAAAAGTCTATAACCCGTCAATGTGTTTAGCTTAAACCCAACATAAAACAGTGAAATAAAAAAGAAAATGTACAGGGCAACCAACTATTAAAGGCAGTAGATCAGATTTCTTACATTGTGAATAAATTAAGCCAAGCCCACTTTATTGTTCATTGGCAAGCATTAAAGAGGTCATGAGTTGTTTGAAAGGAACTTAATTTCATGGCTTATTTATTCATAAATCAAATTCTCTTCAGATT